GTGACTTACGAAAAAATTCTTATAAAAGGCCCCGCAGGGCCGCCCGGAGCGATTTTTTTAGGGTTGACTGCGAGAAACCTTTCGTATGGACCCATTGTGACGCTGTGACTTACGAAAAATTTCGTAGATTTTGTGGCCTGTGACATGTGACCATACGAATTGAAGGAAATACTACAGTACTGCTATGCTGCCAGCAGACGTGATGAAGTCGGTCGGCAGCCTTCGGCCGCCTCCCACCTTCTTACATGTGATTAATCGGATTTAAAATGGCATGCACTCTCCCAAAAAGGAAGGTAAAAGTCGCCCGAATTTTATAAAGAGTTTGAAATAGCGGGGTACTGCTTTGCTGCCAGCAGACGTGATGAAGCTGATGCTCGTTATACGCTCCGGCGTCGGCCAGCGGGCTAGAATGCGGACCAATGGACTCCCTAGAGCGAAAAGATTAGCGGAGATGTGGTGTACAGCTGGGAGGCAGGTGAGGTTGAGGTCATCCAATGCTTCATCTATGAAACGTTGAGAATGAGTTCTAGCCGGGTTGGAGCACGGGTTCTTTGTACATACCATCTCCCTGCCCACAATTTTGATCAACGTGAAGGCTTTCAATCGTCGCCCTAGACCGGCGCAGAAGAGCATTCAACATTGGGTTGGCCTTCGTCCTTCCCAGTCCGATGTGCCGCAAAGCCGAGCAATCGAGCGGACACGCCAGCTTATTCAACAGTTCCTCAACGCCTGGAGAGGACCATAATCTGAGTTCGCGGATTTTGCTGCGTGGCGATGCAAAGTCCGATGGCTGGTGGCGATTTAGCGAGCTGGGCTCCAGCTCATACCCCAAAAGCTTGAGGCAGCTTAGCGCTGCACTACAGTGTGTAAAAATGGCGTGCAGGTCCTCTGCTTTTCACCGGGGCAGAGAAGATGAAGACTCTAATGTGAGGTCATGCAGCAACAAGATACCGACAAGGAGGTGGACGCTGTCGATCACACGTCCTGGCCTCCCCACTGGAATCTGCCGGAGCGAAAGCATGTGCACATGGGACCAAGGGATCTGCGCCACGAGAATGTGAATTTCGCCCGTGTCGCACGATTCGATGTCGAGAGTGTGAACATAGGAAATGAGGTGAGGAGAAGAGGATTTCATGAGATCAACGAGTCGGGTGAGGCGTGTCAACCATATCGCTTGCAAGGCACGGTCAAAACATTGCTATGTCGGGGCCTGACCCAAGGGGGTTCGACTCTGTCAAAAAACCCACTTGGGCCGTTATTTTTTTTTCTGACCTTTTCAGCCAACCTCGTAAGCATCCCCACGGACCATATATAGTAATTATCCACGTGATTAGTTCGGCGCTTCCCGTTACTGACCGGCAGGGAAGCCATTTTCTATGGTTCTGCTAAGCGCGGAGTAGTCTCCACTCATTGTCAGTGTCTCCTCGATTTTTGGGGGCTTTTTTTGACTGGCAGAGCGGAGACCTCCCAAAGATCTGCCGAGACTTGCCATCAATTTGTACTTGATATGGTAGGTGATCTTGCCATGCATGCCAATTCGTAGTCGAGGCACTGATCTAGAGGTGCAGGACAAGGTTCTGACACCCAAGGAGTCCATCCGAGGACATTTGGGGCCTATCTGGGAGATTTACTGAAAGGTCTATTTTTTTTTTGGCCTCGCGGCCCAACCTACCTACCTGCCCCCTGTGCCGGCTTGACCGGCCCGTACCCCCTTGGCCCGACCGGCTGAAATCGTCCCAAAGATGTATGATTGACTCCGAGCGACGAAGGACATCAGGAAAATCTGGAATTGCGTTATAGACCGCCATAGCCTAAGAAAGTCGGAATAGACTTGAAAGTAAACGGCTCTCTATGGGGTACACGTGGGAGGGGCGGTTTTTTGCACATAGACCACCATAGTCACCACTTGCACTACCATAGCTACATATGCCCAGTAGTCAACATAGCCAGGATAGCTCTTATAGTTTCCATATTTCAAGCAGGAATCAAAAAAGAGAAACAAGAAACAAATTATATTTGATAAAACTATGTATGGTACGACGGTAACAGGGAGCTCACATCTGAAGGCCACCGGGTCAGGACTCAGATCTAGCACAAAACATCCAGGGAGACTCAGCCCAGACTGGCTTGAAGTTGCAGCAAGAGCGTGCGATGGATGACAGACTCGGAGGGAGGGAGTTGACTGGGTCGTCACTTGAGGAGAAACCCCTGGATAGAGAGACCTGCGGCGCTTGCAGAAGCTTGGAGCTCGAGGCTCGACGGCTTGAAAGTTAAGGCAAGAGGCTTGGGACGGCTTGAAAGTTGAGGCAAGAGGCTTGGGGCAGCTTGAGGCTTGAGGTTTTTACCAGCTTGAGCTTGAGAAGAGGGAGGATAGACAAGATGGCGGGCCCAGATTAATTTGATGTGAGGCAGATTGAACCGATGTGAGGCAGATTCGCTCAATGTGCGGCAGATTTTGGCAAGTGCGGCACATTGAGATCTGCCTTTGTTTGCGGCTCGGCTGCTCTCGGGAATGAATTTCATCATTCGGCAACCACGGCACCTTACGTTCGCTGTGCTCTCCCAATTCACGAAGTCTTGCTGACGTAGAGTTCAGCATGTTAAATGGTTCATTTAAGCTTTCTATATTCATTCTATAGTATGTAACAATCTACAGCTAGCTAAGCCAGACGAGAGATCTCGCTACAAATATATTGAAACATTCACTGTGAAGTTCAACGGCGGGGTAGCTTTGCCGACTGGGTTCGGGGGCCGAATGCCTTCAAGTTGTGCACGGCCGCCCCAACTGATGGAGGCCGCTGTGACCTACGTGCGAAGCGAGGTGCAACACCAGTAAGTTATCAATGGAAAATACTAAAGGAACCACCACACACCTTGTACAATGCTTCCTCCGCTCTTAATCGCAGCATCACTTTTGCGTCGAGTGGTGTGCCACCTCGGCATTGTACAAAACCTGAGCATTGGTGTCGGGAGAGCACGGGGTCCAAAGGGAGCCTATTTTGTGGTCAACATTATTCCTTCTGTTAGCCAAAACACGTACCAGGCGAGCTTGTACGATTGGGGACGATACGCGATCACATCACGATTCACCTCAGGCTCGATCGCACCCGCAGCAGAGGGGGTTGATCATCGAGCGTGCCGGCGACCTTGGGAGGTGGTGGAAGACAGTCGGGAATGCGTCGAGCTGGTCATAGGCCATAAGGGTAGTGGTGGTAAGGAAGAGATGAGTGTCTGATCCCCGCTCAATGTCAATCAAGATTCTCAAAATGGAAATGTGCCAAGAAATGTGCCTCGTTTCGTCGAATGTGCCTCACTTGAATTCTATCTGTCTCACATTGATTCCATCTGCCTCACTTCATCCTATCTGCCTCACATCAAATATTATCTGGGCCCGCCACTTTGTATGTCCTCGAGAAGAGGCCGGACCCCGGATACGACCAGAGCCTTCGTCAGGCTGCGCCAAAGAAAGTTGCGGGCTTGGTGATGGGCTTGGTGATGGGCGGCTCGGAGGAGTCGCAGCCTGGGACCTGACGATGTTTGAGGTATCTTGAAGAAAGGGCAGGGAGGGAGGAAAAGAGGGGAGAGTTGGTCGTAGTCAAGAAGGAAGCGCTAACTTAGCGACGAGCAATCAACTTCATCAATGATCACGAGATGTGCACGGACCACTTTCTTCCGCGCTGTCATTTCTGACATGTTGCGATCACTTTTCCTCCTACGCAACTCTGAGTTGTCGGCGACCACTGGGCGACCCCATTGACTGCTTTGGAATTCTGTTACCATTTGTGTATTGTACCAAAAACAATTGTTATTTGTTGTGCCGGAACTTACTGTGGCCTGGACTTGCCTGGGACTGAAGTACTGAATGTTATGCAAGCAGATTGGGAATAACAAGCAGAAGATTCCAATTACTATTATTTACTGTAAGCTTTCATGCCTCGACTGACTAGACCGGAATAGTCGTTCATAGAACCAACGCCAAATAGATAGCTGACCATAGACCCCGATAGACTAATATAGCGGGCACGGAGGATTCAAAGACAACAATAGACCATGAGAGGCCCATATAACTGTCGGTTGCACTTCATAGCATTTCAAGTTTTCCTGATGGAGTGGCAAACGAGAGAACACGATTTAAGGTCCCCGGGCGAGTCGTGGAGGGTATCTACAATGGCCTCCCAAAGCTCTTGCGGTAGTGTCGCTGGCATGAAGTGTAACGTCAAGGACTCAAGGGATTCGGTCCGATGGGGTTACGGTAACCACGTCACGTGTGATGCCGTCCTGTTCTTACTCAAGTTACTGATGTCAAGAGCGAGCGAGGCTCTATTTGGCGTAGACGACCCAATGCTAAATACATGTTGCGGTACCGAATAAATGTCTTGTACAATGGACGATTTGAGTCGAAAACATCTGTCAAAGCCGTGATTGAAGATGTGATGGTCGTCGCGAACGACGTACACGCCACGTCAGAGTCGTCTAGATCTGCTTTTCCCTCAAGCGGTGTTGTGCGTCGGCGTTGGAGGTCGTTGCTGGCATACCAAAGCGCTGTCGGGAGTCCCGGGGGAAGTAGCAGCTGGGTGATAACGGCGGAGGCGCCCTCCATTGTACAGATGTCGGAGGACATATCCAGCTCTTGTCATAAGTTGCAAATGAAGCATCCTCAAAACATGCGCCCGGAAATTCTGCTCTGCACCTCCACCTCCACCTTGCTCAGTGCCGGCATTTCCGAGGCGACCTGGTCCAAGAAGATGCAGGCCTATCTAAAAGAGCGGGAGTCTGCCACGAACCCAGCGGACGTGACGCGGCGGATGCTCGATGTACCCTCCGGCGTAGACCAGCGGACGAGAAGGCGGTACAATGAATTCCCTAGGGCGAAAGCCCCACCTCCAACCCGATACTTATGCCCATATTCATGCCCAGCAGCCCCAGAACCGCGGCGCCGAACTCGGATTTCAGCCCATTCGCACTGAACGGCAGCAAAATAAAATGACGACGGTGTTCTATGGCTCGACCCCGAATCGAACGGGGACCTTCTGCTCGAAGTATACACGAGTTGGTGCAAGTGCAGCAGATGCGCATCCATGCGCTACCGAGCCGATGGAAGTACTGGTTAGTCCACGGGGGCGTATCCTTAGCAGTCGGGGCATGGGACGGGGAAGGACACCATCCTCCAAGTCGGCGCGGCGGTGGACGGCCATGGAAGAAAAAGCAAATTGGGTACCGTAGGAATCAGTGCTGACGCCGGCGGTGAACGCCGACGAATCGTGGCCTGCGGACGCCGGAGGAGTCAGCGTCGGGAAGAGCAAAGGTAAGGAAGGACGCTGGTGTAGATGGAGATGGATTGAAGAAGATGAACAGGTGATGGCAGACGTTCCTAGCTTCCACTCGACGGCAGCTTCCAGTCGGAGGAACGAGTAAAATGAAAATGACCTTCAGTCTTTCCCAAAAAGGAAATAATTTGCGAAGGCGCCAGCACAAGAGAAGTGGGAAGACCACCACCAACAGCGGCAAAGAAAGGAAAGGCACGAGAAGGAGGGTGCGGTGGACGCATGCGATTGAGCCGAGGCGCACATATCCGATCTCGCGAGATCCCAGGGGATAGCTAGATTCGAAATGCACATACAGCGAGCGAGCAGGGGTGGATGTCCTCCATGCGTAGATGTCACCCTCCGCTTCAAAGAAAAACGGCGCCCAGCAGTCTATCCTCATTCGCATTCCCAATCGCACTCATGACATATTCCAAAAAGAAAAAAAAACGGAGAGGAACGTCACTCACCGAACTCCTCGAAAGGACTGTTCCGAGTCGCTGTGACTCTCAAAACCCTCCGCAGCGCTCACGAAAGGAGTTCCACGGTTCTCGCTCCGCCCGAAAGGACTGTGACTGCTGTTGTCGCTCGCATGTCCCGTCCACCCGTTGTGCTCGAGCTCGGCCTCGGCGTACTCTATGGGATGGATGTTCCTCATTATCAGTCAACGCACTCTGTCCGGTACAAGTAGACGAAACTCACGCTGAACCGGGTATCGTTGACCTTCGCGTCTGGTGTTGAGGAGAAGGTCAAGCGTGTGACAGTGACGAAGTTTGCTACACAGCCACACGTCACAGGCTTCTTCCGCCCACCGAGACGATGTAGTGTTCCGCGTCGGAGAAGAGCGTTGTGAGCGACCTTTTCCGGGCGATGTGAGCCGTTTCGCAGACGATGTGCGCTCCTGGTGCGCTCCCGCGTTTAGATCGTTGGACTGGTCACTGATTTTCATGCGACGTTGGGCAGTCTCGAGTTCTGTCAGTATATTGTTTTCCTTGCCGTTCTTTCTGTCATAATTCCAATCCCAATCTCACCGAATCAGTAGGCCATCTGCCAGTTTTCCCCTGCCGTCAGTTCTACACAGCCCCCGATCTTCCAGCGCTGGTTCTTCTGTCTCTGTGTCGGTCACGGCCTCGGCGCAGCCCCGTCGACCACTCCTTCTACCACCGCTGCTTTCAGACTGGCGAGAGCGGCGCGCACGGCGCTTGGGGCGAGGACACTCGTCCGCGTCTGGCGCGGCTATTGTGGCGTTGCCGTCATTTTGGTGCGGTTCTACCTTTCCTGTTCGTGGACCAGTCGTGCTGATTTGCACAGGAGACTATGCGTCGTCTCTCACTGTCTATGTTATCGTGCTGTACTCGAACGTAGTTCCATCAGCCTCCGCTGTCACCCCCTTCTCCACTCTCCACGATTTTCATGGAATCGAAACGTGAGTCTCATCTAATCCCGCTCGAGTATCACAAGCAATTGATTTCGTCTAAAATCATGAGAAAAATCACGCAGCCTAAGACCGTTTGAAGCAGCGAGCCCTCTATACCAGGAGAGCGTGCAACATGAGTGGAAATCATCTCGAGGTACGTTCATTCCAAATCTTTACTCTCTCGAGTACAAGTAAAGCCGTCTTCGCAGAATCGTCATTGTGACCTCTTCGCACCTATCCATCCAGGGCCACCCATGCATTCCCTCCTCTCGTCCGCCGCCAAACTCACCATGTCCCCATCAACTTAATCCCTCTGGCAAGTCGTATGTACGTACATGCACCACCTCCCCGTTCAATCTCATCGTCCGCATCTATCACGCCTGCCCCTCTCCCTCTCTTCTCGCTCTACTGTACCTCACGCATCTTAGTGATTGATTCGTATCTTTCGACCTGGGCCTGCGACGCGATTCGGAGTCCGTTTGTCCGCCCACCGCTTGGTCCAAAGACAGTTGAAGAACTTGGCTCTTACCAAGAACATTTCTACATTGAATAACCAGTTCCTTCATCGGCTCGGTGGCGAATGGATGCGCATCTGCTGCCTTGTGCAAGAATAGCTTGAAAATTTTGAGCAGAAGGTCCCCGTTCGAGGGTCGTGTGTCCTGCGCGAGTGTATAATTTTGTTTTTCCCTTTCCTATGTCTGCGCCCACATTGATATTGAATAGGCAGTACCTTCATCGGCTCGGTGGTGCACGGATGCGCATCTGCTGCACTTGTGCAAAAAAGCTTGAAAATTCGAGCAGAAGGTCCCCGTTCGATTCGGGGTCGAGCCATAGTGTCCTGCACGAGTGGGTATATTTTGTTTTTCCCTTTCATCGTCCACGTCAACAAACCGGGGAGTCTGTTCACCGAATCCGCTGGCGGAGAGTGCGACAAGGCATGTGGAAAAGAAAGCAAGTATGCTAAAGGTTGGCTCGTGTCTCTTCATAAGAACATGGATGCATACAGGCTACATGGGATGGACAGTAACTTCACCGGCTCGGTGACGCATGGATGCGCTTGGATAGTTTTTATGCTCGGTTTTCGAGCAGGAGGTCCCGTTCGATTCGGGGCGGAGCCATAACTGGTCGAACTCCATGTTTTTGCTTCTGATGGAATTATCTGGGCGACACCTGTGTGCTATTCAAATATTGAGTGGTTTATTCGCAGAGTGCGACAGGGAAATTTGAATATCGGTATTGGATGCGGACGCACAGGTGAATGCGCCCTACAGCACCTATTCCTCCGGGCAATCTTCGATTCCAGGTGCGCTCAGGTCATCTTCTGGACGGGCTGTCCTCAAATAATGAATTTCCGTCCAGTTACTTCACCCCACCCTCTCCCGTAGACGGAGACGTCGCACTCGGAATCTTGCGACTATCCCACAAGTATGCCGTGAATTATCTTGATGCGCGCGCAATCTCGCAGCTCGAAACTATATACAACATCGACCCCACAATATATAAAGCCCTCTCCCACGACTCTCAACCCCACCAGAAACAAACTCTCGCTTTCCATTTGAAAGCCCTGCCCATCCTGATCGAGGTGGACGCGGTGTGGCTTCTCCCGATGGCCTTCTATAGTATCGGTACATACAGCCTCTCCGACCTGCGTTCTGCTGGCGCTCCGTGGGATACCCTATCGTCCGCAATTAGGGAGACCTGTCTCCCCCTTGCTGGAATCCAAATGCAGGCAACAATCGCAGTCAACCGCTTCCTCTCCGATCAGTGCGAAGGGGAACCCATACGAATGCGGTTGGACCAAGTTGCACCACATCGAGGGAAGAATCACTCGCCAAGCCAGCGTTTCCCAAGATCCACTGGCGTCATATAACAACAAGCACTGGCTCGTGATGGAGATAGTCTTTTGTACGTCGTGCGTCGCCAACCACCAAGAGGACCACGCGACCGCCTTCGCCGAAGTGTGGGATAAGCTTCCCCAGAACTGTGGGCTGGACAATTGGGACGTATTGCTGCAGCGGCGGAGGGAGGTGATGGGATAACCTACGTTGTTCCGGAAACACCATCGCTATTGTTATCTGATTCTTATTCACGTCCCAGTTGGTGTCTCGAATAGATCACCTTCGCGAGAGACGTTACGGCGTGGGATGGTTTTAGGGCTGCCACCCGTGCCCGTGACGGCAACGGCCGCCGAATCCACGGGTGTTCCACGGCACGGGCCGTGGGACACACGGCCGCTGAAAGGGTCAACAAATCCTCAACGGGACGGCACGGTCGACGGGACGGCCGTGACGGCCGTTTTCACGGGTGGATTTCGAATTTTGTGCGGGTATTTCTTCCTACGTGGAATTTTCAGACCCCGAGACCTTGACAAAGAGGGAAAAATATAAAAGTTCAACATTGTTGCACACAACAGTCAGAACGAGGTCTTGGAAGTGTCAAAAGTTCTATAAATTAAGCTCAGTGGGTCAACAAGTGTCTCTGAATAATTTTTTAAGAAGAACGAGCCTCCTGCTTGAAGGAGCGCACCAACCGAGGTGGCGCTGACAACCATCAAACTCCGCCATCACACTCGGAAATTCCCGCCACTTGGTTCAACTCTGCGAAGGTCAACAGAGGAGTGAGGTGGGCATGAATTACATTCAAGAATGCTATTATCCAAAACAGCAGACAATCTCACCACCCACAACCATGATTGCACCCTCCCAGATGACCTACCCGTGCAACGGCCGTAACGGCCGTGTTTCAACGGCCCGTAGTGGCTGTAACCCGTGCCGTAACCGTGCCGTGGTTGAGGTTGGAAAATCTTCGACGGAACGGGCACGGCACCCGTGCCACGGGTGCCGTGGAACCGTGGCCACGGCAACGGGCGGCAGCCCTAGATGGTTTTGCTGCAATGGTCCGTATTTCTGTCGAATCACTTGGTCGAAAACATTTTCCCGTAGGAGGAACTGCATTCTTGCCGTGATGTTAGCCCACCACCGCGAGATTGGATCCGAGCACGACCTCACGCTTCATGTCCTCTCCATTCAGGTGCGTAAACCCTCCTAATAAAGCATATACCTATTAATGCCGTGATACAGGTTATCCAAACTGACCTCGTATCCTTCGAGGCGGAACTCCTGCTGCTAAAGGCGCTCACGAGCACACACGACCTAACTCCCGCGACACCACGGGTCAGGAAGTACATCCATAGCCATATATCACATCTTCTTCGCCGTCCATTCACGCAAGCTCATCGAAAAAATAGGTTTGCACTGCCTACCCGCCCCACCGTGTCGCTATTATGAGTACCTTCTTTTCGGCGTGTGGCGATCGGTCGCTCTCTCTCTTCCAGCCTCTGGGCGTCTCGAAACCTCCAAATGTATAAACGAACCAAGGCTGCCGGTGTTGCCGAAAGGTTTGGGTGATCGGCGTCTGCGCCACTATATCTTTCACTCAACTGCAAGGATCGCCTATTGTCGGACCAAGTGCGCAGTATCTCTATTCACGGCATCGCACTGCAGATCCCCTTGGATAATTATCCGGGCAAGGAACCGTCGAATCCGCGCCGGTTCATGTCGACAGTCGTCTTTTATACCGTCCCGTACCGTCGAAGGGGGCGAACATCCAGCCTGCCGGCCGCGTTTTTGACGGCCTCGCGCTCACGAGATTTTACCGCAGTCGCCGTTTTACTGTACAGGACGGTGTGGAGCCCTATGACTTTTCGGCGTTCGCTTACACGAACAGGCAGCGCTAACCTTTGATAGCGCCCTGGCAGATCGTACTCAAATTGGAATCAATTCGCCGGGGTCCGGAAGTCCTTCTTGCAGTGTTCAATTCCATTTCGATTCTTGACAATCATCTCCGGGATACCTCGGCAGATATTCGGAAGGTGAAACAACTTTGCCGGCATCCTTCGCCACTCGATGGCCTCGCTTTTGAATGGGCAATTTACTGAATGCATCGAACTACGTCGACTGTGGGTCTTCTTGGTGCCTTCACAGCGCGAATTATCATTGGCCTCGTCTTAGGGCTAGACATTTCTCACCGTGATTCTGCGGAGATTCTGACCTTCCACTGATGGCCGCTGGCAGCTCACCACTTTGACACATGTAAGGATAGAGTTGACATCTACACGCGTCTGCCATTTACTGACGTTTGATTGCGTGTTGGTTGTGAGGGTGGGACACAGATTAAGCTCTCCCTTGACTGGACCGGGGTGTCAGTGGCGCCACAAGTAGCTTTAGGATCCGCACTCGATCTACATGTCCTCTCAAATGGCCTCCCCGAGCTCGCCCCCTCCCAGTTTCGATATCGCATTCATGTAAGCCAGCCCACTGGCACCATGGATATCCGGCCATTAACTTCCTTTCACTCGTAGCACCGGTCCCATGGTGGGTCGAATCCACTTCCTCAGCCAAGCAAAATTTCCGATCGACTTTGTTCAAGCTCCTGGGCCACTTATTCAATTACGGTCAGACTTCAAAACTCATCCATGACCATTGCTGAAGTGCGATCCAGCATTACTTGGATGTGTCGCTATTCAAGTTTACGTCTATGTCCTCGCCTTTCCTCATGACAAAATAGTGGTCAAGGCGCTTGGTATACTCCCTGGTCTTGGACATAAACCCGTTCTTACTATGTATTGTGCCAGTCTATAGTGTCTTTTTCCTCGATCTCCTGCAAACAGGGTTCGCTACACACTACGCATGGTACGAACAGCATTATATTTTTTTCTGATCCGTCCCGAGCAACCATATAGGTATGTGTTAGCCGGGGGCTGGGGTGACGAGCTCGCACTACTTTCCACACCTTGGACACTGGCTACAGTTGCTCCTCTTACAGCTCTTGGTAGGTCTTACTATTACGTCCTGATTCCCTCAATCCTGACGTACCATATTTAGTGGCATTCTTGGTCCAACTATTCTATTCGTGGCGGATCTGGGTCATTAGCAATGGTCAAAAGAGGTTCATTCCCATTATCGCTGTCATTGTATTGGTGAGCTTTTTCTTTCTTTTCGTTTCTGCAGTCCGTCATTGATATTTAGACCGCTGCGACTTCGTGTGTTGCTGGCTGGTATTCGGGCATAGTTCTGCCACACGCAGGTTCTGGCCCGCTTGCTCAGATCAACCTCAAACGCTCTATCAAGACATTCGACCTCGATCCAGCAGTCACGGTGAGTGATATCCTGCTGTCGAATTAACCATTGTTGAGTATCATTCGCTTTCAGATATGGCTGGCTGGGGCTATGGCGTGCGATATCATCATTACGCTTACCTTGGTTGCCCTGGTATGGTTCCCGTTATTCTTCTCGGAACGATTTTATCTTACCCATGTTATGCAAGTTGGCTGTTCGTCGAAATGGAGCCTTGGTCGCTACAAAACGAATTGTACACCGAGCTATACGCATGACTGTGGAAACAGGCGCATTAACCAGCGTGGCGGTGACAATTGAGCTGGCACTGATCTTGAATGCGACGACGACGAGTTGGTACTTCATGCTGTAAGCCCGCCCGGCCTATTTGATCCTCGCACATTTGTTCACCCAGATATCAGGGGCCTGCTTATCACAAAGATATATTCGAATTCCTTGCTGGCAAGTTTAAATTCACGGTCTCCAATATTCAACGGTAGCACCACAGCATTGTGGCAGTCGTCAACTGGCCGCGGGAACAACACAAACGTGTTTTCGACTGCACCCCCAGAACAGAGTGGGACTGATGTTGAATTGGGAACCGTAAGTGTCAGTTTATTCATATTGTAAGAGGGTGGAACGTTGCGAGCTAACGAATCCAGACTTCTCTCGGTGCATTCGAAGCAAAGCCGGGCAGCTTGACTGGCAGCCGCGGCC